ACCTCACCTCCTCTTATTCATTTTCAATTTTTTTTGTACAAAGCAAGCTTGGTTATAGTTTGAAGATTAAAGAAAAGATTGCAACTGCTAAATTTTAAATTTTAAATGTATTAAATGTAATTTTATAAGATTAATTGTATAAATAAATTAAATTAAAATTCAATTTTTATTTTTAATATTTTTACTTTCTTTTCCCTAATTTAATTCATCTTTTATTTTTATTTTTACTTAAATTAAAATATCCTTTTAATATTATTCCAAGACACATGCTCATGTTATTTTTTTTATTTGAAAAAGAGAAAAATTAAATCTATCTTAAGAATATAATCGTCATCAATTATTAAATCAAATGTTCAAATACGATACGTAAGTATACTCATATTGTTAAAACAATAAATACGTGATTTTTCAACAATTCCGAATTTTAATGGACAGAATTGTTCTAAATGGATAGAAAAAAGAAATCCAAACAAGTCGAGTTCTCTAAGAAAAAAAAATCACTCTTAGAGTTGTGCGAAATTAATTATGAACAATGACATTGTAAGTATTTGACCTACTCGGAGATAGACCTGTCACCCTTTTTCCCTTACACATGTTATGATCATCTACTCTCAATCAATACGTTATATGTGTATTAATTATATGTTATAGTTTTTCATTCTATGAATTCACTTTGATAATTTATTTTTGAGTCAGTGAAGAACTAGTTGTACTTGTATGGTATAACTCATTTATTGCCAATTCAGAAAAATATGTACTGCCAATTTGATCCTAAAAATGCCACTACAAACATTTTGAACTTTAACCTTGTTTTTTTTTCAACTGTTCTATTAAAATTATATCTTTAATATCACTTCTTTACATTATTAATAGAACTTTGATAGATTTGTTATATGTTATAATTTTTGGTAAATAGTAAAATGCATCATGTGATTTGAAATAAATTTGTCCCTTAAAATATAAAATTTAACACTTAACTACTTTGTATTTTTTTGTTAGAATTTTCTTAACACCATTTCAAATAAAATGGCTAGAATATTCCTTATTTCATATAATATTAATAATAATTAGTCTAAAAAAACTTGAAATTTTTAAAAAATAATTCATAAAAATGAATTTCATCTAAACTTTCTTCACATAAATCCACCAATAAGAAACATATGATATTTTTATTCCTAACTATTAACTCAATTGATATGAATATGATATATAAGAAATTTAAAAATATAATAAAAATCTTTTATATGTATGCATGCATACAAGCAATATAGATGAAAATATAATCGTTAATGAAGAAGATTAATAAAAATAATTTCAATTGGGTGTATTAAAACCCTATTAAATTAATGTATTTATACAGTGACACATATTCTATTTATAAAATTAAAAAATTATATTGATGGTGTACCAATATTAACTCTTAACTATAATTCATAATATATTAAATAAAAGAATAAATATTCACGTGCAAAAGACCTTGACAACAAATACTAAAACTTTACGCAAATGCAACAATCATATTCTCAAATTATAAAATAAATCTATTAGGGTGAAGGTGATGATTTTTTTTTTTTTTTTGCATTGCGTGTATGAATAAGCTATTAATCCACCATAATGTTGTGGTTATAATGTCCTATTGGTTATTGGGTCCACTTTCTTGCATTATATGCTGCCTGTTTAACTTTGTCACTTAATTTCTTCTATCAATAATTGAGTAATTGAGTTGATAGCATTATCATCCAACTCTCCTAATTCCCTAGAAGAGAACAAGTTGATTATTTAAATTTCTCCTTTTAATAAGTAGAAGATTATCCTTCCATTTCATTGAACCTCTTTGTGGGGTCATCTTGAGCCATAAAAAAAAATTAGTTCAAAAAAGAAATCTCATTGACACATATACTTTACTTAGCTTTGTAGAAAATTGAAGATTAGAATTGAAAATCAAATTTCTACGCCTAACTTTATGTATGATACATTTGATAATTAATTATATTATTTTCTTATTACATAGTCCATTTTATTCAAATAGCACTTTCTAGTCTTAATACTTGCTTGTTAATTATCATTAATAATTTATCCATAGTAATATATAAAGAGAATGGTTGAGCTCATGTTGCAAACTAAAAGGATGCCACTTCTAGTGAATAAAATTAAAACCGAATAAAAGAATTCGGAGTTTAGGTCGAGTGGTTTATGCAACTACTCTTAAGAGGTAGTATCCAATTATTCTAGAGTTAAGTTTGTTGTTGATTTGATTTATTTTTCAATAACAAATTTTCACATGCGATTTAGAAGAACCTATCTAATTCTTTCATGTAAGTATGTCTTTTTTATTAGAGATTATAGGCATTGAAATTTAAATAAAAAAGTAATCAATTAATACTTGTTAAAAATGAATATAAATCGATTGATTTAAGTTTTAGGTTAAGATCTAAATATTTTCTTTTTACCAACATAACAAGTGTGTCCAAATCTTATATACTAAAATATTATAAAGATACTAAAAAATTCCCTACATTATTAATAATTTTTGTATGGATAACGACTTGAATTAATGAAATACTTCAATTTGAAACCACCCCCCACCCCGAAAAAAAAAAAAAAAAAACAAAATCAAGCAGTTTACAATGGTGGTAGAAATGAATAGATACAAGCCATGTTGATGACGGATTAGAGTAATATCTAACAAAGTGAACAAAGCCAGACATGATCTGGTCCCATAAATTCTAATAATTCATGAATCATGAGGAATTAATTACACAATATATCATAGCCAACGAAATTTCAATACTATTTATTAGGGTAGGTCACAGCCTAACTACATTGGTCACTACTTATTTCAACTTCATAAATGGCTTTGGCCTAATAAAATGACCTTCATCTAACTAGTTTAATTTCTACATTCTAGATCAAATTCAGATAAGTTTAATGCCCAATTTTTTTTTTTAAAAATTTTAATTTAGATAACTTTGAAGGCAAGATTTGTCAAACCATGAATTGTCTTAATTTTTTTTAAATCATGGTTTCGACGCTTTGCCTCACGGTATGTTGAAAATTTATGGCCTTGATATTAATAATCACAAGGGTTAATTGGTTTAGAGTTCGTTGCACAGTTAGTGCTTTTTAAATTTCACAATGTTTAAAAATTATTACGTATTTTTTTTTATTTTTTAACATATATTTTAAAAGTATATGTAACAATCTTTTACCTTAGCTGCCGTGGAGTTTTTATATTCTATTGATGGTATATGAGATAATTTGAATTGTTTATAGAAAATTTATTTTACTTTGATTCCACCAGCAAGATTAGAGAATTGACACAAATCATTTTAAGATACATTAAAAAATTTGAAAAAAAAACTAATATAATTAAAAAATACACGTGACAGATTTTTTGCATTGTTTGTAAATTTAAAAATTCCATTAACAATGTATAAAAAATAAATTTTTTGATAATTTGTAAAACTTGAGATTATAATTTTAAGATTTTAAGTTCAAATAGTAAGGAGAGAGAGGTAGAATTTATGAGATTGGAAAGAACAAATCATCATGGTACAAGGAAGTGTGGTGGATTGATAATTCATTTATCTCAAGATTAAATTTACGAGATTGAAGAGAATTAAAATAAATTGGATAAAAATAATTAAAAAATCTCTAAAATTTATCATTTTATTTAAATAAATTCTTATACTTTTATTTAATCAAATAAACTCTTAAATTTTAATTTATATCCAAATAAGCACTTAATTTTTAATTTATACCTAAATAAGCCCTTAACATGAATCAATTTTTTGTTTGAAAGATTTATTTAGATACAAATCATAGAGGTTTATTTGAGTACAATGAAAATATTAAAATATAAAAATTTATTTTAAAAAATAAAATAATTCAAGAATTTTTTAAATATTTTAATCAATAAAATGATATAAAAAAAAAGTGTAGTGGACAGATAATTTACGGTCTCCAGATCAAATTTATAAAATAGGAGAGGACAAAAATAAAGTGGCACATAGAAGTCTAGTGGGTCTCGTTACCCAGGTTTCGTGATCGAAATTTGACTCTAATAAAGGGTTTATTTACTCTGTTTCATAAGAGGAAAATAAGAAATGAAAAGAAAAATAAATAGGTTTGCACCCTTTTGTCCTTCAAATCTAATTTTTCTAAATTGAAAGGAAAAGTCTTTCTACTTAAATTATTATTATTTTTTTTATATTTTACCCTTAATCACTTTATTTTTCTCTATTTTTCATCTTTCCTACCAAATGTGAAAAAGAAAAAAAATTCTCTTCTCTTTTATTTTTTCTTTTGTGGTCTTTTTCTTTTCTCTTAATTTTCTTTCTTGTCAAACATAATATTAATGTTTATATTTTTAATTAAATATAAGAATGAAAAATTAAAGAGAATTACATCTCATTATGTAATCGAGAATCATAAAAAAAAAAAAAACCAAAAAAAAAATAACGGGGCAATTTCGGGAACTTGAATGAACAACCAAAGTTGGAAAGAAAAAGTGAATTGTGGAATCGAAGCAATGTAATGTTAATTAGTGATCACCTGATGCAATAAAATACTAGTTGAACAATTAGGTTGCATGATTGATTAGAGGGACAATGGGATACATGATAAGGGCTGTATGTAATTTCAACCTCAAGTGTAGCCAACGGGCATTGGAATTCAAAACGCCCCAAAAAGCAAAGCTGACCTACATGGCCCAGCTTATTATTCCCATTGTCGCTATCTGCAGCTGTTGCCGTTGCCGTTGATAAATTTTCCATTACTTTATGTACTATATAATAATACAAATATACTTAATTTTTCTTTTTTTTTTTTATAAAAAATTATTTACCGTATGCATTTCTCAGTAATTTTTTTCAAATTTTAATTTGCTCTTGAGTCTTTTACTTTTATATTTTTTTAAATAAAAAAATTACATACATAAACTTTTTAAATTCTTAATTTTTAAATGTTAATTTTAATATTATGTCAACCGATCAAAAGATCCGGTGGCTCGCGTGTCTCTCTCTCTCTCTCTCTCCGTGTATATTATATATAATAAAAACCCAAGTAACACTAGTAAAAGCAAAAAATAACTGAAGATTCCATACGGATTAAACATTAGAAAAAAAAAAGAAAAAAGTTCTTGTTTGCAAATTGGTTTTTTTTTTTTTTTGGGGGGGGGGAAGGTTGAGATTGACAGGCAGATCCCCACCAAAAATATCAAATAAATAAATTCACATACAACTATCTTACATAAAACCCCTTGATAATATTCAACTTTCTCTTGTTATACTATTCTTTTTTTTCAGCTGTAATTGCTAAGAGAGAGTCCTATGCTGGGGGACTCAAGTATGGTAGAAAGCTCCGCCGACGTTGCGGCAGCGCCTGGAATTCATGAAGGAAATGAAATTGGCATGGTTGGCTCAAATTCAGGTGAAGAAGATAAGGGTAGGGTTGATGAAGGTGACCGGAGTTTTGGAGGAAATCGATGGCCTAGGCAAGAGACTTTGGCCTTATTGAAGATACGTTCCGACATGGATGCTGTTTTCCGTGACTCAAGTCTTAAGGGTCATTTATGGGAAGAGGTTTCCAGGTGAGCAAAAAAATCCTTCTTAGTTTTGTTTTTGCTTCATTGAATGGATAATTTAAGCTATCTAGGTCAGCTGATCATGCATGCAGATCACCTGATTTAGATTTTCAAACTGAATTTTGGTTCATATCTTCATACTAGAATGATTTTTCTTGATTCTGGGAAAGTGGGATTGGCTCAGTTCTCAGTTTCATGGAATTCAGTGTTTAAAATCTGGGGTTTGAATTCATCTTTTCTTGTCAAACCCCTTTTTCCAAGCATTTAAAATATAAAGTTTTACAGATTAATCCCATCTGTTGATAGTTGTGGTTCTTTTAGAGATGGTTGGTTTTGGCTTTTGTCCATTTTAGTGAAATTCAAAAAAGAATGGTCATCAGCCTAATAAATGTCTACATATACTTCCAACATGGGTTGTGAGTTTCCCATGTGGCCTTGTTTGGTTAGGTTTTTTTTTTCTAATCTTTTTTGTCTTACTTTCTATGTTCTTCTTGTTCTTTTGATGTTTATTAATGTCGCAAAGTGCTTTTAAACTTTATTCTGTTGCCGGATTTGAGATAAAATTTAAACAAAAATGGAGCTGTTTTGCAACTGTATTTACCAGGAAACTAGCTGAGCTTGGTTATCATCGAAGTGCCAAGAAATGCAAGGAGAAATTCGAGAATGTTTGTAAGTATCACAAGAGAACCAAAGATGGCCGAACAGGCAAGGCAGATGGCAAGACTTATCGCTTCTTTGATCAATTAGAAGCTCTTGAAAATCTTCATTCACTCCGATCACGTTCGCCTCCAAAACCTCAAACTCCAACACCAACATCGGCGGCAATGCCTTGGAGTTGTAATCCTCCTTCTGCATCCAATGCTCATGTCCCATCAGCAATAATAAACCCTACCAATGTACCTCAAACCAATGCCACACCATCCATAAACCCTACTATTTCCAAACAAACAGTTCCCATACATTCGATAAATCCTACTTCGAATAATATGCAATCTTCCTTTCATAACGTTTCATCGAATCTTTTCTCCACTTCTACCTCTTCTTCAACAGCATCCGACGACGGTTCAGATGAAGGGAGCAGTAAGAATAAGAGGAAATGGAAGGAGTTTTTCAGGAGGCTGACGAAGGAGGTGATTGAGAAACAAGAGGAGTTGCAAAACAAGTTCTTGCAAACAATTGAGAAATGTGAACAGGAAAGAATGGCACGAGAAGAAGCTTGGAGAATTCAAGAAATGACACGAATCAACAGAGAGCATGAGATTTTAGTTCAGGAAAGATCCACGGCAGCAGCAAAAGATGCTGCAGTAATTGCATTCTTACAGAAGGTATCGGGACAGCAACCAAACACGGTGCAAGCGCAACACCAAGAAAATCCTCAACCACCACCTCCACCACTACCTCCACCAGCACCGCTATCTCTGCCGCCTCCTTTGCAGCAGTCGCAACCCCAAACGCAAACTCAAGCCTTGAATTTTGAAACCTCGAAAATGACTAATGGAGGGAATAATGTGGTTTCATCAAGTCCATCACGATGGCCAAAAGTTGAAGTTCAAGCTCTTATAAAGCTTAGAACTAGTCTTGACACTAAGTATCAAGAAAATGGACCAAAGGCTCCTCTATGGGAGGAGATCTCAGCCGCAATGAGAAAGCTTGGATATAATCGAAACGCAAAGAGATGCAAAGAAAAATGGGAAAACATTAACAAGTACTACAAGAAAGTAAAAGAAAGCAACAAAAGAAGGCCTGAAGATTCCAAGACATGCCCATATTTTCACCAGCTGGATGCTATTTACAAAGAAAAAATCAGCAAAAACGAGAATTCACTTAGTTCTTCGTGCGGAGTTAAACCTGACAGCACTATGGTGCCACTGATGGTTCGACCGGAACAGCAATGGCCTCCGCAGGAAGGAATGAGCCAGCAGGCCGCCGAGGCAGCCATGATAGAAGAAGCTGAAAAGGAAAATGTGGATCAGGTTCAAGATGATGAAGAAGATGGGGATAGTGAAGAGGAATATGAAGGGAATGATTTTGAGTTAGTAGCAAACAGAACTGCTCCAATCGGCACTGCCGAGTAAGACAACAAAAAGGGAAGCTTCTAATCAAAATTTACATCAAGTGAGGCATCGGCAAGGTGGTTTTACTATAGTATTTACCATGGTAAACCAAAAGCAAACAGACATATAAGCCAGTAAAAAAAGTTTATCATCAAACACTTGAATTACGTTTTTGGCTGAGAAGTGAGAAGATGGATCCAGTTGGTTTGAAGAAGGAAAAGTGAGTCAGATTCTGATGAATTCAGCAGGAAATAGTGGTGGTGAATTGGATTAATAGCAATGCACATGGGGTGTAGTTTTATAGTGGGGTTAAATGTTTTCTTTTTCTTTATTACTATAGTTTATTATTTATTTGTTAAAATAAATATATTAAAAGTGTGGAAAGTGTATACAGAGTTGAGGGGGGGGGGGGGGAGCAATGTTTTCAAAGTATAAAATAAAAAGCCAACTGTTTCTTTGTATCCTTCTTTCTGTTCATAGTGGAATTTAATTTCTACATAATTTAAAAAGAAAAATGAAAAAAAAAAAAAACCTTAGTGCTGTATCTTTCTTTCTTTCGGTTATAATTACTGTAAATGTGTAAATGGAAGATACGGCTTTTAGTGTTTGTTTTTGAGTGAATGCACAGAATAATTGCCAGATTTCACCATTAGAAATACAACGAACAAGTGAAGAGCATTTGCAAATGTATTATTAACATTTGAAAGCTATAGATTTTGTGTGTGTGATTCTTCAGCCTAGCTGGGTGGCCATTTCTTTTGAGTGTCTGCACATTAGCTTCGAATCTTCCAAATGCAACATATTGCATATGCCACTATAAAAGATCAGTTAATTACTTGACCCATGTGATGGGTGAAAACTACTTCATTGATTTCCATGGAAACCCCATATTTTTTGTACTTACATTATTTACTTTAATTTAATTTAATTTTTACTTTCAACTTTGCCTTCTTCAAATTCTTTAAATTTCATAGAATATAACATCACTTTATTTTTAGTTTTAAAGGGTAATTTAATAAAAAAATTATCATTAATTAATCTTACATTATCCTCAATCAAACATAAAATCTTATGTTTAGATCAAATAAACCAAATACGAGAAAATAAGATCACTTAAAATATGCAAGATAATCTTATAATTGGAGAATCAAATTACCAAAGATAATATGATTTCCCATAAACAAATATCCCTTAGACATTCATACAATTGAGTAGATTCCATATATGAATTTTTTAAATGTTAAAAAAAAAAAAAGGTCAAATGCCTGCCTAGCTAGAATTAATAGGATACCAATAAAAATGGTGCAATATATAATAAAAAAATATACTTGAAATATAAAAAGAATGGTAAACCATGGTATACATCTTAATTCCTTGAAGTGAATTTTGGTTGGAGAAATCAAAATGGTAAAAAAAAAAGGGAAAACTCAATGGGACTTTAAAATTATGGATCCTGACAATATTTTTGTGATGATAAAGATTGGAGTGAGATTAAAACAACACCGAACAAACAAAGACACATGGGAGAAGGGAAGAGCTTGTAATATCATGCTAGGCGTAGAGGTGCTCGGGTTGGGTTGAATTTGATTCTAATTTATATAATTATAAAAATTTGATTAGATTCGATATTTTATATCTTAATTTTTTTAAAGTTTAATTTAAGTTGAAAAAATAAATTTTAAGTCATCCATTAAATTTAATTTATATAATAAAAATTTTTTTTAAAAATAAAATATTAAAATAAAAATTCATATATATACTTATTAATTATAATATTTTAATTACATATTTTATTCAAACTAAATCCAAATTTTATTTTTTAAAATTCTAACCTAAAATTTAAGTTAAATTAAAAATTATGTTTAAATTTATTTAAGGAATCTTAATTTTTTATTCGAACCTGCTTAAAAATTAAGCGGACAGCTTGACCCATCAACGGCTATACCGAGAGTCTAAAGATGTGAATTAGTTATAGCCTTTCAATTAAGAGGGCCCTTTCCACAGCATGACCTAAACCTAACCCTTGAAGTCCGAGTCGGGGTCCTACAAGAAGAATCTTCTAAGTGACCTTCAATTATAATGTATGAGATTATTAATTCGGCGCTTTGTGTTGACTTTCCCCATAGTCATTATCTTGATTTCTACTACTGTTATAAAATTAATCAATTGTCTCATCATCTCATCAGAAAGTTGAAACATTTTGTAATGCTATATATACATGGAATCCAAAATTTCTTACCAAATTTGATGAATTGCCTACTCTTTTTAATTTCCTCTGATCTAATCCTTTTGTTATTGATCAATTTCCTCTTGACTTAAAATTTATTTAGATAGAAGATAAGATTGATTCTGATAAAATTAAAAATAATAATAAAAAATATTATAACTGTAATTGTGATTTAAAAAATTATTATAATAATGATTAAAAAATTTTATAAAAAAATTATCCAAACCTCGCTTAACAGCTTCATTTGCTTTGCCCATTTTGCCGGGAATCCAAGATAGTGCATCCCACATTAAAATTAGGGTGATCGAGGCCCACATATTTTGAGTGGTCACGCTTTATTTTGAAGAGGAAATAGATATTCTGCTTTACAATTATTTTTTCGAAAGTAAAAAATAAAAAATAAAAGCACGTAAATAATTTAGTCGATTAAAATTCATCTTGTTTAATAAAAAAATTTTAAGTTTAAATTTTATTTATGATTATTTATTAAAATTATTTTAAATATATAATTTATAATTATTTATTTTAAATTATTAAATATAAAATATTTTATTTTAATTTAAAAAATTAAATAATCTATTTATTTCGAATTTTTTTACCATAAAAAAAAAAAATAAATAAAAGCTCCTGCCGTTGCTATCTGTAACCGAGGCACACCATTCTATCTTAATTTCTAGCTTCCTCATTGGCCCTTAGTAATTTCTTGCGCATCAGGGATAAGCTTTTGAAACTCAAAGTCACCTCCACCAAATACCCACCGACCGACAACTGAGAAATTCTAATGGCACGGGTCCTAATTTTGCTGATATGATTTTTATTGAATTTATTGCATTTAATTAATTAATGCCTAAAAATCACAAAGTTGGCTAAATTGCATCATGTTTTGCTAGAAAAACTTTAGCAGATAGACAACTAAAACTAGATATTTTTGTTTTATAATATTCATAGTTGTCACACATTAATTAAATCAATTATATAATTACTAATAGTAATTTGGTCGCTACAAGTGATCCATTGAAAGAGACTTATCTGGTTATCCATACTTTCCAATCATTCAACAATATATAAATAAGATAGGCTCATTCACATTTCTTAGGTGGTGCTAACGTCTATAATATCCCTTGATATATATATTTTTATTGGAAAGATGAAATTTACATTTTTCTAAACGAAAATATCAAAATTAAGATTTTGAAAAACATACCGACATTTAAAATAATCTAATAGATGGGGCAAATAAAGAAAAATTAGTTATTTTAATCTTACTTTCAGACAATTATTTACGGATATAATTGTGCGACTCGAATCAAATGTGTTTTCTTCATTTACAAGAGAGGTTTGATCAAAATAAATGATAAATAAATAACATATTTGATACTTATCTAGATATTTTTCTTTTGAAAGTCTCGTGGCTATGATCTCATATTGAGCTTTCAGCTTTAAGAGAGAATATGGATCCAACAACATCAAAGTTTTTCCAAGTTCGGAAAATTTAATTGGATTTCTTTGTAACCAAATTGGATGGCGGTTCGATTACTTATAATTAATTAATCAGTTAGTGGTTATCGTCTCAGATCAAAATTTGCCATTTCACGCGGATAAGGAGATGTACGTGTCATTATAGGGTGTGGAAGACAGCAAGATTAATTTAAGATTAAACAATATTTTTCAAAAATAAAAAGGAAAAATGAAAAGAAAATTAAAAGGGAAAAAGATGGTTGGGGGTTAGGCAATTTAATTATTTCGTTATGTAAGAACCTATGTTTCAGAATTAAATAAGTTGTATAATGAAAATTATAGAAAGTGGCCCTAATTGATTAAAATGTATTGCTCTATGCAAAAAATTGAGTTTGAATTCCTTATTTTTCAATAAAAAGAAATTGAACATGGCAACTGAATTTGTCTATTAACTTTATAGTATAAAATAAGCAATCCTGTTCGTATTTTTTGGGGCATGGATTGCATTGGAGATTGGACCACTAAAATTTGTAGCTCAGTGCGCCACAATTTTTGTATTGGACAGACAATAATGGAGCTTACGGCATGGAACCAAAGCACAATAAGCCAATAACCAACGATATACATTTAATCTTTTGGTCTGAGTAATTAGATTCGAGTTAAAGCAATCCCAACTTTCACCCCAATTTCAAAAAAAAAAAAAAATTGCATTTTTAATCATTTTCTCTTACATATATATATATATATATATAATTTTGGTACATATTTTCGGGAAGCCAATATCTTCAAAAAATGACAGAAGATTTTTTTAATTTGATAATAATGTAATGGGCATAATAAGATATAAATTTGAACTGAGAAAATATTGTTGATTAACAAGTTAGCTAGTATTTATCAAAACCTGGTTCAATAGAAAAAAAAAAAAAAAGAGAATCGGGTTTGATTGAGTTTGATATTCAAAAACTAAGTTAATTAACTCTATAAAGTATAAAATACAATAATTTAGCCAGAATTTTTTTTTTAAATTGAACTTATCTTTGGTTGTATTAACAATAATTCTAACATTTTCCAATCTAAGGTTTTTAGGTGAGGCTTCAATAATTAGAGTCTGAAAATTTACCTTGAAAGTCTCGTGTTAATTTAAATTTTAAGGTGGAGTTTATAAAACTTGAAGTAACTTAAAAAGGGAAAAAGAGAAAAAAAAACACCAAGTTTGATATTCAAAGACCAAGTTAATTACTCACAAAACCAAAATTTGATGCTATATGGTATGTTTATATGATATAGAATATATTTTCATGTTATATATATATATATATATATCAATGTATGTGTAATATTACAATATTTTGCCCCAATATAATATGCAAATAAAATTCTTTGAGTCGTCTCTAATTTATTGATTTAGTGGTCAAGAAATCTTAAAAGAAGACATAAACGCTAAGATTTGACTTCAACCTTCCCTCTTCTTTTTGTTGTAGGGTTTAGTTCTTTTTTAAATAAAAAAAAATTCTTTGAGTCGAATAAACTTGAAAATTAAAATCATTATCTAACGTAACCTTAAAAGTTTTATTTGACAAAATTTTAAAGGTTTTTTTCTGTATTCAAACAAGTTGAAAATTTTCAATTATTTCTTTTATTTAACTTTATACTTTCTGTTTTATTTTCTTTATTCAAGAACCAAATAAAGCTTAATTATTATTTATGTTAAAATTAATATTTATGACAATGGCTTTAGCT